AGAGCTCTTTTCTTCTAGACCTATGAAATGGATGCCGAATCAAATTTCTCACAAGTTGCACCTCCAGTTTTTGATGGAGAAAAACTACGATCTCTGGGCTGTCAAAATGGAGGCTTACCTAGAGGCTCTAGATCTTTGGGAAGCTGTAGAAGTAGATTATGAAGTTCTTCCGCTGCCGAATAATCCTACCATGGCCCAGATCAAAATTCACAAGGAGAGAAAAACTAGAAAAGCAAAGGCAAAAACATGTCTATTTGCTGGTGTTTCTCAAACCATCTTAACAAGAACTATGACTCTTAAATCAGCCAAAGAAAATTGGGATTATCTAAAGGAAGAGTACGCTGGAGATGAAAGAATAAGAAGCATGCATGTGCTTAATTTAATGAGGGAATTTGAGTTGCAAAGGATGAAAGAGTCTGAAAAAAAATCAAAGAATACTCAAACAAATTGTTGGGTATTGCCAACAAGATAAGGTTGTTGCCAACACTTACCGACGGCCTTTGTCCTTCGGTAACCGAAGGGCAAAAGCCTTCGGTATGATCCAGACAAAACTAAGTCATAATGGTGATCATATCTTAGTCAAAGGAAAGGGGACAATTGCAATCACAAGCGCTATACAGGCACAAAGTTCATCATGATGTTTTTTTCATTCTTGAAATTGACCAGAACTTATTAAGTTATTTTTAAAGATAAATATTGCTTGATTAAAGATGCAACTGCTCAAGATATGTTTAAGGTAAAAATGAAAGGAAAAAGCTTTGCTCTAAATCCATTAGAGGAGGAGCAGGTTGTTTTTTCTTTAAAGGAAAATGTCACAGAAATCTGGCACAAGAGACTCGGGAACTATCATCATCAAGGACTACTGCAATGGAAAGGAGCTAGCACTTGATATTCCGGTGCTTGAGTATCAAACTTCAAATTGCAAAGTCTATCAATTTGGGAAGCTAAACAAGAAAGCTTTTTCAAAGACAACATGGAGAGCATCAAGGAAGTTGCAATTAATTCACATAGATGTTGCAGGACCTCAAAGAACACCTTCATTGAAAGGTATTCTTTATTAGGTTCTCTTCATTGATGACTTTACTAGAATGTATTGAATCTTTTTCTTCAAGAACAAATCAGAGGTGGCTGGATTTTTTGGAATTTCAAAGCCAAGGTTGAGAACAAAACTAGTTTCAAAATTCATATTTTGAGGTCATACAATGGCACTGAGTACACATCTGAAAGATTCAATCAATTTTGTGAGGTTTCTGGCATTAAACATCAACTAATTGCTCCCTATACCCCACAACAAAATGGGGTTAGTGAGAGGAGAAACCGATACATCTTGGAGACGACGAGATGCATGCTGTATGAAAAGAATTTACCAAAAGAATTTTAGGCAGAGGCAACAAGTACAACTATTTTTCTTCATAATAGACTCCCCATCAAAGCATTGAACGATCAAACACCATTTGAGGTTTGACATGGTTACAAACCATCTATGAAATTTTTTAAAATATTTGGTTGTTTGTGCTTTACTCATGTTCCACAGAGCAAGCGAGATAAGCTGGATAAAAGAGCATCACCGGGTATCTTTATAGGCTACAATACAATCAGCAAAACCTATAAAATCTTTCAACCGCAAACCAGAAAAATAATTATTAACAGGGATGTTCACTTTCTGGAAGATGAAGAATGAAATTGGGATGATAAAAGGAAGACAAATCTGGTTTCTACAGATGTGAAGTTCAAATCTTCAACCTCAAACACAAGACAAAATGAAGATGAAAGCTGGCAAAATGAATTACTAGATGATGATCCAGTAAGAGGTATCAGATTGCTATCCGAAATTTATGAAAGATGCAATATTTCTGTGTGTGAACCTGCAGATTATGAAGAAGTAAAGAAAAGTCCACATTGGAAGGTTGCAATGAATGAGGAGTTGGCAATGATCGAGAAGAACCAAACCTGGATTCTTATGGAAAAACCTCAAGGCATAAAAGTAATTGGGGTCAAATGGGTGTATAGAACTAAATTAAATGCTGACGGTTCTATCAACAAACACAAGGCAAGACTCGTAGTGAAAGGTTATGCACAAATTTTTGGTATAGACTACTTAGATACATTTGCACCAGTTGCTCGATTGGACACCATTAGGTTGTTACTTGCTATAGCTGCTCAAAGGAATTGGAAGGTTTATCAACTTGATGTTAAATCAGCTTTTTTAAATGGTTTTTTGCAAGAAGAAATATATGTGGAACAACCCCAAGGCTTTGTGAAGGAAGGAGAAGAAGATAGACCAAGCATATTTCAGAAGCATGGTTGGGTGTTTGATGTACCTTACAGCAACTCGGCCTGACATCTAAAATCCTGTAAGTATTTTATCTCGATTTATGCATCCCCAAGTGAAATGCATTTTAAGGCTGCAAAAAGGGTGATTAGATATGTCAAAGACACTCACAACTTTTACATCAAGTTCAAAAGGACGGAAGAATTTAAGTTAACAGGATTCTCAGATAGTGATTAGGGTGGTTCAATTGATGACATGAAGAGTACCTCAGGGTACTGTTTTAGCTTTGGATCGGGTGTTTTCTCATGGAGCTTGAAGAAACAAGAAATTGTTNAAGCTGGATAAAAGAGCATCACCGGGTATCTTTATAGGCTACAATACAATCAGCAAAACCTATAAAATCTTTCAACCGCAAACCAGAAAAATAATTATTAACAGGGATGTTCACTTTCTGGAAGATGAAGAATGAAATTGGGATGATAAAAGGAAGACAAATCTGGTTTCTACAGATGTGAAGTTCAAATCTTCAACCTCAAACACAAGACAAAATGAAGATGAAAGCTGGCAAAATGAATTACTAGATGATGATCCAGTAAGAGGTATCAGATTGCTATCCGAAATTTATGAAAGATGCAATATTTCTGTGTGTGAACCTGCAGATTATGAAGAAGTAAAGAAAAGTCCACATTGGAAGGTTGCAATGAATGAGGAGTTGGCAATGATCGAGAAGAACCAAACCTGGATTCTTATGGAAAAACCTCAAGGCATAAAAGTAATTGGGGTCAAATGGGTGTATAGAACTAAATTAAATGCTGACGGTTCTATCAACAAACACAAGGCAAGACTCGTAGTGAAAGGTTATGCACAAATTTTTGGTATAGACTACTTAGATACATTTGCACCAGTTGCTCGATTGGACACCATTAGGTTGTTACTTGCTATAGCTGCTCAAAGGAATTGGAAGGTTTATCAACTTGATGTTAAATCAGCTTTTTTAAATGGTTTTTTGCAAGAAGAAATATATGTGGAACAACCCCAAGGCTTTGTGAAGGAAGGAGAAGAAGATAGACCAAGCATATTTCAGAAGCATGGTTGGGTGTTTGATGTACCTTACAGCAACTCGGCCTGACATCTAAAATCCTGTAAGTATTTTATCTCGATTTATGCATCCCCAAGTGAAATGCATTTTAAGGCTGCAAAAAGGGTGATTAGATATGTCAAAGACACTCACAACTTTTACATCAAGTTCAAAAGGACGGAAGAATTTAAGTTAACAGGATTCTCAGATAGTGATTAGGGTGGTTCAATTGATGACATGAAGAGTACCTCAGGGTACTGTTTTAGCTTTGGATCGGGTGTTTTCTCATGGAGCTTGAAGAAACAAGAAATTGTTGCACAGTCTACCGCAGAAGCTGAATTTGTTGCTGCTACCACTACTGTTAACCAAGCCTTGTGGTTGAGCAAAATTTTAATTGATCTTAACATGGGGTAGAAGGAAAACACAAAAGTTTTTGTTGACAACCAAGCTTCCCATAATTCTGTCTTTCATGGAAAACCAAGCATTTCAACATTAAATTGTTCTTCTTAAGAAAAGTACAGAAAGATGGAGCTATTGTTCTTGTTTATTGCAAAACTGATGATCAGGTTGAAGATTTGTTCACCAAACCACTTCCGGTCAACAAGTTTGAGTTCTTAAGACAGAAGATTGGAGTTTGCAGTTGCAAAATCAAAGAGGAGTGTTAGATATTTGTTTTTGAAGTGCACATGACCTCTTTATTTAGTTTATCTTTATTGTTTTTGTTGATTGAATAAATTTTTTTGTTCCTAAACTTTAGGAGAAATCATTTCTGTTTTATCTTAGTCAATTTTTTGTTACTGCAAGTATTATAAATGTATTGCAATTGACAGTGGAATAAATGAATTCCCACCCATCTTTCATTCCAATTTATATACTCTTCCTCTTTCAGTATTTTATTCTCTCTGTTTTTGTTGTTGCTCTCATTTTTAAACCAACAAAGACAAATTACAACGTTTGAGAACATTATTTAAAACATTAATAGATGGATGAGCAAGCCTATTGTGCCAAATGGAATATAAACGAAACTTGTGATTGGTGATAACTGAAGACTTAAAAGACTGGAAGACACGGTAGAATGAACGACTGAGGAGATGTTTTCAGGTGAAACTATGGAAAATGAGGTGAGCTACATCAGTAAAAACTGGTATAAACCATCCGAATCAAGAGATCTTTTAATAAAATGGAATGATCAACCCAGGATTTAATAAAAATGACAAAAGGATGAAACTCAAAATAAACATGATTGTCATGTGCAAATCGACTAACACTGGTGAGATTTTTATCGATGGAAGGCACATGTACTAAGTTTTTGAGATGTACAGTAACAAAAGGCTTGTGACTGGATATAAAGGAGCAGAATATGAGGATTAACCACATAACGGTGGAGCCGATGGGCTTTGATAACTGGTTTAACCTGCTGTTTCCAGAGAAGGAAATTGGTGTGTGAGAAGAGAACCGGCGACAAATAAGACTGGGTTTTAAAAACACTACCTATGAAGAAACAAAGTGAAGAAACAGTGACTACATGATACTATGTTGAAAATAGAAAATCAGAAATAGAATCTAAGTATCATTATTATTAAAACCAAAACATAAAAAGGATATTCCCTTATATCCTTAACACAAATCCCTCAAATTTCAAATCAAAATTAGCTATTCCTATTAAAGAAAATCTCGGCACAAGCTCCAAGTAAGTTACACTAGATTTAAGCACTATGATTTGTTTTAGTATTTCTGTCCAAAATAAGTTACTTTTTAGATTTTTGTTTTTGTAAAATGTTCGCGCATAACTTTATTTATAAGAAAAACTTTAGTTATTCGTGATTCTTAGGGGTGTTCATGGGTAAGATAAGCTTCAACTTATAGGTAAACTTAAACTTGAACTAATGATGCTTTGAGTTATTTTTATTTGACTTTTTACTATATTCCTTATGTTATAGTTAACATTCACAATAAATAAATATATTTATTTATAAAGTATGATTATACATGTTATACAGCTTTTTTTTTTTAATTATAATAACTTTCGCTCTTTTTGAAAAGGAAAATATTTAAATATACACTTTATTTTGAATTGTTCTGAAGCTACATTTTTTTTTCCTCATTTAAAGGTCCAACATATCTGTGACTATATTGACAAATCCTTAAAGGATATCTTCTGGAGGGGAAGTAAGGAAAGGGATAGAATGTTGCATTGCTTGGAAGATTGATTTCGAATCTTTTGAACTCTGCTAATCGGTTATGGGTTTCCTTCACGAATCCAATATCTTTGGGGATGGCAACTTATTCTTGAGCTGCAAGAAGAAGGAATTCCATCATCAAGGTGTTGATACTTTTCTGAAGATGTTCTTCTATTTGTAGTCTCCCTTTTTTCCACAATACGAATGAGATTTATTTATTTTTCATTTTACTCAGATAAACTTCAAAAATAAAATGTACCTTGCTTCTGCCATTACAGTAATTGCTATATTCCAAATTCCCACCACAAGTTAGTTAAACTATACATATGGAATTCTTTCCAAACAAATTATTCACTCATCGTAGCCTCTCTTCTCCATAATCACCACCAACCTTTCCTTCATTCTAGCTCTCGTTCCTTCCAATGGCTGACGCTTTGCTGGGAATTGTGTTTCAAGACTTGCAATCTGTTGTTCAAAGCCAACTTGCAACCTATTGGGGTATTGATCAACAGGCACAGAAGCTTTCCAGCAATCTTACGGCAATTCGTGCTGTCCTCAGAGATGCTGAGAGAAAGCAAATAGCAAGCCATGCTGTGAAGGATTGGCTGCAGAAACTCACAGATGCAGCATATGTGCTTGACGATATATTGGATGAATGTTCGATTCACTCCAGAGAGGTGCTGTCTGATGATGGACATACTTCATGCTTAGCCCGTGCACATCCTAAGGACATTCTCTTCCGATTTCATATTGGAAAGAGGATGAAAAATATCACCCAAAGATTTCACGACATCAATGAAGAAAGACGCATGTTTGAATTACGAGTTGGTGTCACAGAGAAGCCAACAGTAGATGATGGTGAGGATTATCAAACTACCTCTGTCATAACCGAACCCATATTCTGTGGCAGAGACGAGGATCGAGAGAAAGTCGTGAAGCTTCTCCTAGAAGCTAATAACAATGAAGACCTCACCATCTATTCCATCGTTGGTATGGGTGGACTTGGCAAAACAACTCTTGCCAAGCATGTCTTCCATGACCACAGGGTATGAGAAAATTTTGACATGAAAATTTGGGTGTATGTTTCTGTTGATTTCAATGTGAAGGCAATACTGCAATCCATCATAGAGTATGCCACAGGACAAAACCCCAATCTCCATACTTTAGAAACAATGCGGAAAAAGGTTGAAGAAGTGTTGCAAAGCAAGAGATATTTACTTGTTCTTGATGATGTGTGGAATGAAGACCAAGAGAAATGGAAACATTTGGAGGGGATGTTGCGGTTTGCAAGGGGAGCAAAAGGAGCTACCGTTTTGGTCACAACTCGACTCGAGGAAGTTGCTTCCACCATGGAGACGCATCCAGCTTACCATTTGACAGAATTGTCAGAATATGACAGTTGGTCATTGTTCAAAAGCTATGCGTTTGGACCAAACCGAGAAGAGAAAGAAGAGCTTGTGACAATCGGTAAAGACATTGTGAAAAAATGCGTTGGTTCGCCGCTTGCAATCAAAACACTGGGAAGCCTATTGCGTGATCAAACTGCGGTAACACAATGGGAAAATATAAAGGAAAGTGAGATTTGGAATATACGGAGTGAAAGTAGTTCTAAGACGGATAAGGAAAATTCTATCATGCGTGCTTTGAAACTAAGCTATTTTAATTTGGAGTTGTCATTGCGGAGATGCTTTTCTTTCTGCGCAATATTCCCCAAAGGTTTTGAAATTGTCAAGGAAGAACTAATTCATCTCTGGATGGCTAATGGATTTATTAAATCTGAAGGAAATGTAGAAGTGGAGGATGTCGCCAATAATGTGTGGAGAAAATTATACCGTAGGTCATTCTTTCAAGAAGCAAAGTCTGACAAGTTTGGTATGATTACAAGTTGTAAGATACATGATCTATTTTACGATCTTGCCAAGTCTATTATGGGTGAAGAGTGTGTGATGGTTGAGGAAGGAAGGTTGACTCAGTTGTCAACTAGAGTTCACCATTTACACTTCTTAAGTTATAATATGTCTGTCGATGTAGCTGCTTTCAAGAAAGTTGAATCTATGCGGACTTTTCTTTTCGGTAATATTAGGCAGTTGCCATCAAACCGTTGTCTGCGAGCATTATGTATAAGATCTTCTATGTTGCCTCCATTGAATGATTTAGCACATTTGAGATACTTGAGTGTGCATGATAGCTCGGTGAGAAACTTGAATGATTCAATTTGTCAACTGTCGAAATTGCAAATATTGAAACTGGAGTCTTGCTTTGATTTTTATGAGATACCTAAAAAGTTAACACAATTACAGGATCTAAGACATATTTTGATTAATAAATGTGCTTCAATACCAGATATGCCTCCGAATATTGGGAAGTTAAGGCATCTAAGAACATTAAGCCTTTTCGACGCGGGTTCAACACCTGGGTATGGGTTGACAGAGTTGAGTGGCTTAAGGCTGGGAGGCAAGCTGCATATCAGAGGACTTGGGAATGTGAGCAACGAATGGGATGCTAAAGAAGCAAATTTGAGGAGCAAGAAGGAGTTGAATCGCCTATACTTGTCATGGGGTGGTGGTGCTAATTCAGAAAGTAATAATGTTAGTGCAGAGAGAGTATTGGAAGCCTTGGAACCTCCCTCAACTCTGAAGAGTTTTGGGATGAATGAATATCAAGGAAAACAGTTATCGAGTTGGATGAGAAGTGTTGTACATTTGAGAGACTTGGTGGAAGTTATACTCTTCGACTGTGACAACTGTGAGGAGCTTCCTCCACTTGGTAAACTACCACACTTGAAAAGGGTACACGTGCGTGGAATGAAAAATGTGAAGTGGATAGATGGTGAGTCGTATGAAGGTGTGGAGGAGAAGGCATTTCCATCGTTGGAGAAACTGAGTGTAGAGAATTTACCAAAGTTGGAAAGGATGTTGAGGGATGAAGGAGTAGAGATGGTCCCCCATCTTTCCCAATTAACAATTGATGGTGTCTTCAACTTTAAAGTCCCACATCTTCCTTGTGTTGAGGAGCTTCATGCTAGAAAAGTTGTAGCAGCGACTTCCTTCATTGAAGGGGTTGGGGATAACATGGTTTGTCTAAAGACTCTGCGTGTTAGCTCAATTAAAGAATTGAAGGTACTACCGGACCAACTGAGGAGGCTGGGTGCCCTGGAGTACCTTCGCATTGGATTTTGGTATGATTTGGAGCATTTTCCAGAACATGTATCGGAAGGTTTGACCTCTCTTCGAAGTTTGAGCATTTACTGCTGTGAGAACTTAAAATCCTTGCCTGAAGGTGTGCGACATTTGACATGTCTTCGGCATTTGAATATCGGCAATTGTCCACAGCTGGTAGCTCTACCAAGCAATATGAGCAAACTAACTTCCCTTCGGACTGTCTATATCTATGATTTCTCTACATTACCATATGGCTTACAATTTGTCCCCTCCCTACGAACTTTGAATATAGAAAGATGCATGTTTACTTCATTGCCAGACTGGCTGGGAGATATGACTACTGTTGAAGAATTAAGCATTTGGTTCTGTGAGGAGTTGAGGTCACTGCCGAGTAGCATTCAACGCCTCACCAACTTGTCTTATTTAAGTATAGACCGATGTCCTCATCTGAGAAAGCGATGCATGAGGGAAACAGGTGAAGATTGGCAATACATAAAGCACATTCCAGAAATAAAACTGGACTCCTACTCACTCCCAGAGGAAAAGTCTTTAACATTAAGTGGTGGTAAGTGAATGATTGTTTAATTTTCTATAATTTCTCCTTATTGTGAGATTGTTCATATTTTAAAGTTAGTAATTGCATGTAGAGAGTATCCGCCGATTATCTTGCTCATGGAACTGCTTCAAGACTGCTAGACAGCCTGCCAAAGGAGTGGTAAGCAGCAATTCATTTGATCGTGTACTTGAAGAGTGAATGTGCCATTCCAGGCACAATCGAAGAGCAGTCTTGAGTTTTTAGAGATTTCTTAAAGGATTTGGGGTTTTGGACTATAAATCGGATCGAAATCATTACTATCGCGTTCTAGCTCTTCAGGTAAGTCTCAAAATACCTAAGCTAGACAAATTTATAAACTGCAGATTTCAATTTCCCCCTATATTATTAATGCGGTTGATAATTGTATTGCTGCTTTCTTCCATTAGTTATCTCTTACTCTGAATACTTCACTGATAATACTAATTTTACTTTCATTGCGTGATGAATTCTACATTGAGTTTAACAATTCCCTGTATGCTAGAATCTCTTTAAACATAAATTTGGGCTACCTTTTACTGAAATCTTATTACCTTATGATACATTCAAGTATCCAAAAGCAAAGGTACATTCATCATGCACAACTCTCGTCTTTTAGTACCAAATTGGGATTACATTCTACGAATGGTTCATGCATTGCTATCCTAGAGTGATGATTTCTAAGTACTGCAGAGTTTTTAATGCACAATCTCACGTCTAAAATTCCTCTGCTATTATCCTGCTACTTATATATTTCACACTTTCATGACCTATTCTCAAATAAGATTAAGATGCTTTAAATACCAAAATCACTACCCTTCATAATGAGGAGTCCCTTTGCTCCATTTTTTTCCGCTTCACACTCATCATGCACTAATAGTGCATAATATATTAAGGACTCAAAGAATACGAATATTTGAATATAATGAATGACATTTGGTCACTTAATTTATATATTAAAGAAAAATCTTTGAAAGAATTTATATAATGAAGAAGCATAGCCATTCATTGATTTAAAGATTTAAGTTGCACTATGTTCTGTTTATTGCAGGGCTCCTTATAATCCAACAGAAGATTGAAATGGATGGATAAACACTCATACAAGGAAAGAGGTTGACGTTTGTTTATCTCAATAAGACTCATTATTGTAAATATCCCTGAGTAATAACTAGGAACTCTTGATTATAAATTTTATAAACTATAGTTTTGCAATTTGTAATAAGCTAGTCTTTAGTAAGATCATATGTCATACCTTTAAGCACTGCTTTCTAAGGTTAACTGTTGTGTCAGTATTCAATCCATGACGTTTAAAAGTTTGTTCTAATAAAAGGTGCTATATCGTTGGTCATAAAAGCTGACATTAGTAGCACAAAGATGACCCGTGCTTCCGATAGCATCAAATTCACTGCCAAAGTGTTCCACATATCAAAATGGACTTATTGGTCATGTTGGTTCCGTTTTCAACATATCTGAATGTTGAAGCTAATATATCAGGGTTGAAAACCAATGTACGAGGTTCCTATTACTAAAAGATGCAATTTATAATAATCATAGATAGAACTGTCAAATTAACCCATTTTAATTTTATAATATTTACCCCTAGTCCATGTGGGTTGGGACAAAAAAACTCACGGAACTAAAAAATCCTTTATTAAAAAAGTCCACAGAACTAAATACTCCCAAAGTTCTATGGGTCAGGGTCAGTCCATGAGCTTTTTTTTTTTTTACCAAATTTTATATGTACGGGTGTTGCTCCCTCCACCTCCACAGCCTTCTCCCTCCACCTCCCCAATTATCTTTAATTCCAATTATATCCTTAAAGTTAAAATTTTTTATTTTTATTATTTTATTATTTTAATATTTTAATATTTAAATATAAACTAATATAAATATACATTATTAAAATACATTAAAAAGATATTCAAAAATAATAAATCAAAATATTAAAATATCTAATAAAATAATAACAGAAACATAAAATTAAAACAAAGCTTAAACGGATGTTGACATCCGTTGAAGGATGTCATCCGTTTAAGCTTTGTTTTAATTTTACGTTTTAGGGTTAAAGGATTATTGGAAAGATTATTGGAAGGATTATTGGAAGGGTTTAGGGTTTAGGATTATTGGAAGGATTATGACTACGTACCTGGAGAACCACGACAAGCACATTACACCACAAACGCACTGCACCACGTACTGCACCGAAAGCAAGAGGAAGATTGCTTGATAATTCTTTTCACGATCACTGAGCTTTGCAGAAAAATATTTTACTCATACAAGGAACTACGTAGGTTATCAGTGAAATATGTTATAAATGAGTAAAATTAAAAAACAATAATTCTAAAAATAAAATTTTACTGAGGGGCAAAATAGTAAAGGGGAGGTGGAGGGAGAAGGCTGTGGTGGTGGAGGGAGCAACACCCTTTATGTACAGAAAAAAAATTTATGATCCAAAAAGTGATACAAAAACCCATGAGCTTTTCTTTTTACCAAATTTTATGTACAGAAAAAAAAATTTATGGTCCAAAAAGTGATACAAAAACAGAGAAACAAAATTTTTATGCTACAATAACATATAACAGATAATTTATACAAAAACAACATATAGAATTTATTCAAGCTAAAAAATCTTGGATTTCTCCATCTATCCAAGCTAACTCAGGGTCCTCTACCCAAACATGGGACCCCGCTACAAAATTGACTTGATCAACCTTTGCATTTAAAAGAATCATCAATGTCTTTATCATTTGTGAACATGCAAACCAATTTGTGAGACTTTGCTCCCACAATACGAGTAAAGGTCAATCATATAAATGACAAAAAAATCACGTGTCTGAGTTTACATCCCATATACGAATTGTAATTGTTTACACCCTTTAGTTACACCTTGTACCAATTAACTAGACCATGCAGTGAAAATACCTTGCCTCCGTAAGTAATAAACCACCAGCAGTTTTTTCCTCGACTTCAGCAACCTGCATTCCATATTTAATCAATCAGAGGGTACATACATTTGATATGCATTTCATGCAGCAATTCAATTCTTTAAATATATTAGATATACATTTGAAAACCATGGTTCCTTTGCTTATTGGTTGTTAAAGACTAGGATTTAAATAAATGTTGAAATTAAGAAAAAATTAAAGTGTAACTTACAATAAAAAATAAATCTGACTCAGGTTATTGTGATTTTACATTGTGCCTCTGAACCTTATGGACCACTGTTCAAAAAGGGTATCTATTTTACTTCAACGTTTATTGGAAAACAAAAACAAGGACAAAAGTTTAGCAGCCACCTTATAAAAGTTAAATCATTGATCCGAATAAAAACCCAGCAACAACTTCAGTTCTGATCAGTAAAATATAATCATGTTTATACTTCAGGAGATTAAATTTATGTACCATAACATATATTGTGTAGTTTAAAGTGTTTGAAAAAAATGAGTTGCAAATTGTGGTTAGTGTAAGAATGAAGGTTGATTTTGGTACCTATGCATTGAGATGCACATAATAGAAGCTCAACAACAACTTCATAATACCTTGAATTTATATGGACCAGGTTGAAAAAATGTCATAAAATATACATCACATCCAAGAAAGTAAACCCATAATATTACAAGGATAAAAGGTAAGTAAAAATGTTTAAATACGCAATGACAATAAACCTGAGGGCATTCTAAAAGTGAAATAACCTTCTATCAAAGACGAACATAGAGTATTGGAGTTAGATAGGCCACACAAACCTTTGATAGATTGTAAAATATTGCTTTTCTCATCCCTTGAAGACATGTTACCATATTTTTCATTCCAGAGATGCCTATATTAGATAATGCTTCCCTTTGATTGAAAAGGGCACCACGATATCATCAAGAAATAGAAATTCCACAATTTTTTCTACGATTAAACTCCCATAGCTCATGGCCTTTCGGACTCGTGAAACTCTTGAATAATGGAGCCAACATGACACAATGCTTTCAATGTTGCTTCCGATAATACCTTTTTGTTGAAATCTTCAATGGCATTTGACATAAATTTCTTCAAAATATTCTCAAATATTGATTTTTGTAATGAAAAAACCTTTGAATGAAACATAGCAAGTGTCTGCAATCCCTTCACTACAAATCAGTACCTAGAACTAAAAAGAAATCAGTAATGTGAGCTTAATAAGTGTGCATCAGGAAATAAAATATAGCAAATGCCTGTAAAGTAAATAAATTTATTTCTGTCATGCATGTCACACTTAATCGAAGGTAGGATAGGAAGGGCTTTTTTTAATATATCAACTATTTAATGATTGATTCTGACAGCAATGAAAGTGAAGAATTGTTTTTCAACAAGTTCAAGAATAAAGTGACCATCAATATCCATATCTTTGAACCTCTCAGCAGAATTGTTTTTCAACAAGTTCAAGAATTAAGTTCAAGAATTATAGTACATGCCTTCATAACTTGCAACTGTCTCTGGTAGTGCTCCCTTAATTTCAAAGCTCTGCAGAGAGCAAACACAAAAAATTGCATATTACAATTCCCCAACAACGACAATTGAGGAAAAAAGTTACAAAAAAGTGGGAAAAGTTGCATGCTAAAGCAAATGTATTGCAGTCTTACCCAAATTTACAGTAAATAGCAAGTTGAAACAACCATCATGTAAAGAATCAAGTTTCATTAAACTGACACTCTAGAAAGACCTTGACAAAACCAATTATATAAAAAAAGATGTGGCATATGTTGTACAGAAGTGTATTTTGATTAAAATTTATAGCATAAAAATAACCAATGGGTCATCTTATGTACTAAACTTGATGTTCGTGTGAGGGGTCGAGTCACCTAAATTCGTCCGGTCTCTTCTTGTGATCCTTCCTTCCGTAAGTCGATGTACGTCCGTCTTGTGCGCCTGGGAGGGTACCTGTTAAAGGTGCTTCGATGTTTAAGTCAAAGGTCTGATCGGTTGTTTTAGTACCGCAATAAATGTGCAATTAATTAATCTGCCTACTTCTTACCTTTGACTTGTATTTATAGTTTTGGTCATTGGCCTAGGATTAGCAGGACCTTAATCCCGACCCAATCCCGAGCCCAATCCTCCAATCGGTGTTTTACCTTAATCACCTCTGCAAACTTACCTGTCATGGCCGTCTGGATTGAGTGCTCGAGTCCGACCAGACGTCTCACATGCTATGTCTGGGACAGTCCAAGGGTCATCTATTACATCAGGCCCCCCAAGCCCTAGACAACTAGTTGTCGTTGGGTTTTATAATAAGGAGTGGCTGGTCAGCGCTTTTTGAATTTGACTTTGAGCGGGAAAACACGTGTCATACTATCATAGGCCGTTTGCCTCGAGTAGCGAGATGGTCGCTTGATCTGAGACGTTGATCGTGCCAGATTCGGACGGTGGATATGGATCAACGGTTTCAAAAATTTTGCTATAAATAGGGGCGCGGGGCTCAGTCACTTTCACATACACTCTTTTTCTTCTGTTGTTACCGTTTGGCTGAAAATTCTTTTTCCAAGGTAAATAATAAATGTCTACTGTTCGTGTTTTTTCTTCCAATGAGTTGACGGGCAGGAGAGGCGAGGAGTCATCCGACGGGAGCCGGTCGTCGTCTCCTAGCTCGGTGTCTTCGTCCTATCTTGAAAGGCCCGAGCAAGAGGGGAGAACAAGATCGAAGTCTTCCGTGCGTGGCGGCGAGAGGGTTATAAACGGGATATCGCTCTTCCTTCTTCAGGGGGGCGTAGTCATAGAAGCTGAACAGGCTGAATCGGCTGGTGGGTGGCCTGTGATCAGGGAGTATGACTGGGCTTCCCACGAAGTGGGGTCCTATGAGTTCGAATTTTCTACCCGGGAGGAATTGCAGTTATGGGTGGAACGTTCGTACATAGCGAGGGATGGGGAAGATGCCCGTTTGTTCCGTCTCGGCGTTAGTCATCCTAACGAGCGAGTTTTTCACAGAAAGGGGACCCATACTGAAGACTTTTTCTTTGTATATACGTATCTGTTCAACCAGATGTTCGTTCGGGTGTCGTTCACTGCGTTCCAATCAACCGTGCTTCGAAGGCTGAACGTTGCCCCCTCACAACTACATCCTAACAGTTGAGCCTGTATTCAAGCGTTAGTGGCGATGTGTTCGGCGCTAGCGATTACTCCCATTGTTTCCATCTTTTCCCACTACTTTAACGTCTGGCCGATTGTTAAGCGAGACTGGGTCTCTTTAACTTCTGTCCATGATGGCTGTCTGTTCAAGCCGAACTCGGAGTCTTTCAAAAATTTCAAGCACCGCTACTTCAAAGTAATAATCAAAGAAGGCGATCGCTCCCAATTTCATACCGAGGCGGACGGGTCCTTGTTCCCCTTTTATTGGACTAGGGATCCAACTAAGATAAATGTTGTGTCGGTCGGCGCTATGACCCCTATTGAGATAGAGGCAGTTAAGACCATTGACGCCTTATCCCGCCACCTCCCTGTCCGAGACCTAGTTGAATGCCTTGAATTTGAAGATGAGGGAGTGCTCTAACAAGAAGTCGCCCGGCCCTTCCAGGACCACTCTCACACCCCCTCCTGCTCTTCCGGAGGCCCCGTCGACATACAAATTCCACTCGGCCATATCAAGGGTTTGTGAGATTTCCACAGCGAAGTTGGCTAAGTGTTGGCCCCTGATCGATCCTCGGGGCTCAAACCTTAATCTGAATTCTGACAGCTCCACTACCGAACTGACCATCCGTCCGTCCAAGTCAAGTTTCCTCAAAATCTTGGATATGGGATGAAGTCTTATGGCCGCGTTGAGGAGGGCCAGAGCCACCTTTTCCACTTGTTGGTAGCGTGTTTCCGCGTCTTGCAACACCCGATTGACAAAGTAGACAAGCCGAGGCTCCGACCTCTCTTGAACCAGAGCGGCGCTGATCGTGGTTGGTGACACACCCAGCTAAACTTGCAGGTCCTCCCTTGGACATGGTTTGTTCATGACCAGAGGGTTGGTCAGGACGCCTTTGACCTCCAAGAACGCCTACTCGCACTAGGCGTCCCAACCCCCAACGCCAGCCCCTTTCTTCATTTTCCTAACGATCGGCCGTATGCGTTCGGCCAATTTTGGAATGAATCTACACAAAGAAGTGAGTCGACCCACCAATCTCTGAATCTCTTTAAGGCTAGCGGGGCTTCTCATCTCCAGGACGACAACACACTTGTCTGGTTTGGCCTCTATACCGCTGGCGCTCAGCAGGAAGTCTAAGAATTTGTCGGCGACTACTCCAAAGGTGCATTTGGCTGGATTCAGCCTCATGGAGTACCGCGTCACTTGTCCGAAGACCTCCTCCAAGTCCCGGACATGGTCTCCGTAGAACTTTGACCATAGTACCATATCGTCAACATAAACATCCATACAACGGTCGATCTGTTCTGCAAAGATCTTGTCCATCAAGCGCTGGTAAGTGGCCACTGCGTTCTTGAGTCTGAACAACATGACGTCATAACAATAATTCACCCTCTCAGCTATGAAGGTCGTCTTCTCCTGATCCGGGGTGTACATCAGAATCTAGTTGTAGCCGGAGTAGGCGTCCAAAAAGCTAAGCATCTGAAAACTGGATGCCCCGTCAACCAAACCATAATGCTTGGAAGCAGATGAGAGTCCTTGGGACATGCCTTGTTCAGATCGGTGTAGTCGGTACACACTCGCCATTTTCCAGTAGCCTTGTTGACCATAACGACGTTCGCCAGGTAGGTGGTGTATGTCACTTCTCGTATAAAACCGACCTCTTTCAACTTGCGCACCTCTTCGCTAACAGTCGCGCTCTTCTTTGTGCCTAGCCTCCTCTTCTTCTAGGCGATCGGCTTGGCCTCCTTGAACAGGGCCAGTTTGTGAGACATCATCGAGGGGTGAATGTCTGGCATGTCAGATGTAGCCCAAGCGAATAGGTCGCAATTGTGCCAAAGGATTGCCCATAACTCCTGCTCTATTCCCGGCTCCAAGTCCTCCGCAATGTAGGTAGTCTTCTCCTTATTATGCCCTACCTTCACTTTGCGCAGTTTCCCAATTGGTTCAATCAGATCATTCGTGTTTGTACGAGGGTCAAGATCGGCCGTCGCCACCTCAGAGCTCACCCGGGGGTGGAGCTTTAATCCTGCTACGTAGCATTCTCGGGTCGTCTTTTGGTCGGCCCTGATAGTGCATATGGTTCCCCTCTCTTATGGGTACTTCATGGTTAGATGGGGGTGGACATTATCGCTCTAAACGCGTTTAGACATGGTTGGCCTAGGAGGACATTGTAAGACGTGTTGGCGTCTACCAACAGATACCGAACCTTCTTCTGGTCGCCCTCCCGCCTAGTGCCTAAACGAGTGCGGAGATCAACATAACCACGCGTGTCCACCCTCTCTCCCGCGAATCCTACTATTTGTTCGTTGTAGGGCACAATCAAGTCCTCCGATAGGTCCATGCACTGGAAGGTCTTCCAACACAAGATGTTGGCGGAGCTCCCCTGATCAATCAACACTTTACTCACCCCGTACCGAGCGATCTCCGTCGTGATCACCATGGGGTCGTCCTACTCCGGGTCTGGAGCATGGAAATCGTCATTCGTGAATGTGATTGCCTGCATGGATCTCTTGGCCTTGTGCACCGAATTGACCGAGCAAAGGGCCCTAATATGGTGTTTCCGCGCCGATGAGGATGATCCTCCCCCGACAAACACTCTGAAAATGATGTTAATGTGACCACATAGCGATCGGTCGTTACTCTTGCTTCTACGCCTCTCTTGACGGGAACAATTACTTCCAAAGTTTCTTAATTGTCCCCTACCACCCTGCCCCGGCGGACTTTGTGAGGACTACGCGATCGTGCCGAAGAGCCAACTTGGCGTTCAAGACGTTCGATCTTGACATACCTCTTCAACTGTCAAGCTCGGATAAACTCCTCGATCTGGTCCTTGAGAGTCACGCACTCCTCCATGGTGTGACCCAAGTTCTGATGCCATAGGCTGTGCTTGTTCCCGTCAGCACCGGGCAGGGTAGGGCGCCTCTTGGGCACCTGTATGAGCTCAATGCTCAAAGCTTCTTGTAATATCTTCGCTCGGGGGCGTTCAGTAGGGTGTTCTGTTGGAAACATGGACCCTTGGGGGCTACTTTAGTCTGAACCCCTCGATCTTTCCAAACTTTCCCCCTGGCTCCTGTCCTCTGATTTTTCCTTCGCTTCCTGGATCTCCTTTCGGTAGGACTGCCTCATTTCCTCCACCCTTATTTCGTCTGCCGCCCGTTCACGCGACTCCTCCAAAGTCTTCGGCGCCCGCCGGCAAACACTTTCATTAAATGGTCCCGGTTTAAGCGCAGGTAAGGCATACTGAAGAGCCAACTCCGAGTTGAGACCCTTCACTCGCTGAACCATTTTTTGGTAGCGGTCCATGAACGCTTTCAGTGTTTCGTCCTTGCCTTTCTTGAGGACACACAATTCAAAGATGTTTAAATCTTGGGAACGATAGTTGGCAAACTGTTGTCCGTACATGGCTTTGAGGCCCCCAAAACTTTATATAGAATTTAGGGGCAGAGAGTTGAACCACTCCAGGGCTTTTCCCTCGAGGGATAAAGAAAACGCCCGACACCAGATTGCCCAGTCCCCGGTCCGAAATGCCATCCGGGTAGTGAACACCTTCACATGATCATCAGCGTTGGTCGTCCCATCGTAAATACTAATCTTTGGTGGGACGAAATGCTCAGATATGTGGTCATCCATGATAGCTTGGACGAAAGGTAGGTGATCGGAAGTATCCTCAACCTTGACCACCAACTACTTGCTCAAGGTCGCGCTCTCCTCCTGGTCGGCCTTAACCTTACTTCCCTCGACCACTAACCCGGGCGGTTTCCAGGTAGGATCCGGCATGCTACTGTGCTCCGAAACACCTTCCTAGGCAGCCTTGCCACGCTCCTCTTCGGTTTTGTCTCCCGCCCCTGATCTTCTCTCCTGTGTTATGCGAGCTGAGCATTGGGCCCGCACGGCCACCATCTTCGCTTCATGTCGTTGCTGCAACTCCTGCATCTGTTGTTGTAACATCCTTATCATCTCGATCAGGTCCTCTCTGCTCATGTTTCTCATGGTTACCAATGAGTTTAGTCACTCGGCCCCACGGTGGGCGCCAAAATGTTCTTGTATGGGGTCGAGTCACCTAAATTCGTCCAATCTTTTCTCGTGATCCTTCCTTCCGTAAGTCGATGTTCGTCCGTCCTGTGCGCCTAGGATGGTACCTCTTAAAGGTGCTCCGATGCTTAAGTCAGTAAAAGGTCTGATCAGTTGTTTTAGTACCGCAATAAATGTGCAATTAATCAATCTGCCTAACTCTTACCTTTGACTTGTATTTATAGTTTTAGTCATGGGCCTAAGATTAGCAAGGCCTTAATCACAGCCCAATCTCGAGCCCAATCCTCTAATCGGTGTTTTACCTTAATCACCTCTACAAACTTACCTGTCATGGTCGTTCGGATTGAGTGCTCGAGTTTGACCGGATATCCCACGTGCTATGTCTGGGACCGTCCGAGATATTCATTATTTGGGTAAGAAGTTGGGATTTTAGGAAAAACATAAGATATCACCAAATATTATTACTAATCTGATCCTTTGATACCTATATATGAACGATGTCCATTTTCCAAACAAAGATTAATCTATTGCATGATTCTATGTTTGGAAGTTGTATTGTGGTATGAAATTTATCTTAAAGTGTTTGGAGTAAGTAAGAGTGAATTACTTGAGTTTCAAGCTTAACAAGAAAGGTTTTAATGGGTGATTTTGAGTAATAGGGGCTGGTGTGAGGGAATTACTTGGGGCTATTATGAAGTAATTTAAGACTTGTTAGAGGTATTAGTGGATTAAAATCTTTTATGGAATATAGGGGTGGTGATTTGTTGAAGTTTTAAGGTGTTTTAAGTGTAAAAATGAGGTTTTGAGTAGTGAGATTTTGAAGTAATGAGTGTAAAAAGTTTTGGGCGGTTGGGAGGTTGATATGAGACCTATTAGGACTTGTCTAAGTTGTTAAATTATAAAAATCTGGTGTAGAACAATGGGTGTCATCTTGGGGTGAGTTCTTAAGTGTTTTTAATCCAAATTGAGGTTTTACATGGTGAGATTTTGAAATAGAATGACTGTGAGAATTCTAAGGTGTTGGAGTATGCTAACAAGTGTATTTAGACTTGATCATACAGGTTGTAAACTGGTATGGAGGTTAGAAAGTGTAGAATGAAGTTTGGGTATTTGATAGAAGTGAAATTGGGTTTTAATGGGTCAGTTTAAGTTACAACAGTATTTGCAAAGTTTTCTTAGGGTCTAGAGGATCCTAGAGGCCTGTAGAAGTTGGGGGTTAAGTGTTCAAAGTGATAAAATTGAGTTTTTATCTTACTGATAGTGTTGAGCGCCCATTTTCCAGTGGCCAGGGCATTGAGCGCCAACCCTTGGCCCCCAAGTGCCATTGGACGCAGTTGGGCACCATTGCACCAGTTTCGGTAGGGGGGTCAGGGTTGTGGATATCAATTTTTGATGTTCTTTAGGTCATTTTGAGGGTTTTGGACCAGGAGCTGTTGGTGAGGGTTTCAAAGCTGTTTTCCTTAAATGTGAGAATCAAGATGCCATGAAGAAATTGTGCTATTGTGTGATTTCTAATGACTTATAAGGGCATTTATATTTCTTTAATATATGATCAATAGTCTCATGTATTGATATAAGATGTAAAGGAGAAGTTATATCAATGGTTTCAAAGTTATGAAGGTTATTTCTAAGGTGGAACTTCATGGTGTGGTTTCAAGTATGTTAGAATGAATGCAGGTAACTCAATCTTGGGAGTTTCCCTGACACTCTAATTGTCATACATTCTCACATAGAGAGGTTTGACACATGTGGTGAGAGTAGTAGGTATCTTAGTCTTGGATGCTTCCAATATGATCCCAGGTGTGGAACAGACTAACCTTGTGAGTGTGGTAGGGTGAAACCCATTGATAATGACTTTACAAAGCAATAGAAGATATTACAAATGCATAACCTGTCATAGCTCGACTTTCATTGTAAATCTGGATAGTCCGATTAAAGTATGATCACGTATAAAGTGTTTGGTTGGTTAAATTGTGTTATAGGTATCACTTGTGGAATGTTTAAAATATTTAAGTATATTATGAAATGTATTGTATCTCTAGCTTACCCTAGCTTATGTGTTTTGTCTATCCATGTATTGTTTTTTTTTTATAATGATCACCTTGATAGATAGCTTTTCAGTTGATTCAGCGGTTGGTTGAGAGAGAAACAACTTGATAGATAGCTTTTGCTCTTCAAGGGTATAATATTTTACATTTCTCTCACGTTCCTGGTAAGTTATACGTTTTCTTTTAATAGTTTTACACTGTTAAAATGAGATGTTGCAAAATATATATATATATATATATATATATATATATATATATATAAATATAAATA